GACTAACGTATGTATATATCGTTATCTTAACATAGAAAGGCCCTGGAACTTATTTTACGAGCGCTGCTAATTGCTAAAAAACAAAAGAAAGCTATTTTAATTTGTTTGTCAGTTCTGGGAAGTTATACGGCAATTTTATCAGTTTAATGCCATGACATAGTGAATTTTTATTTACTTTGGTGTTAAAGCGAAAACTTTCCACAAAGTATTTCATAAATTGCTGTATAAGTGCAGGCACGTTTTGCAGCAGAAACGTGCTTCTTTTTTCGGCATGACCCAGTTCGAGCAAACACAGACATACATTTGTATGTGCAGACGAAATTATCTATATTTTCAGGCGTAAATATTATTGTGGCTTATTAACATTTAATTTTAATATTGTTATTAAGCTATGTACCAGCGAAACCGGCGCACGTTTAAATATCGTTTTTTCAGATGAGTATTTTTCCCAATGTCAAACAGTTTCAATAACAGGCTATGATATATTGAAATAATTGGACCAAATTTGGTGGAAATCGGCAAGGCGGTTATTGATATATGTATCAAAAATCAATAATCTTGTGTCTTGTTAAACGATTGCTGCAAGTTGGCATCTTTAGTTATTGAAAGATCAGAGTTTTCGTATTTCGGAAATTTACCGTTATATGGTAAGTGGCAGTAATTTTAGTCTGATTTCAAAAATTTTCAACATATTGCTTTTTTGCGCCAACGTTGCTAAATGTGCCGAGTTTGGTAGAAATGGATAAACCGGGTACCGAGATACACATACTACGTAGGCGTAAGTGGGCGGTGCAACGCCCATTTTCCAAAAATTTCCCTAAAAATAATTTCCTGCTAAGAGGTCAATGTATGCATATTTATATTGATTTTGAATAAATTAGCTTAAATAGTTACTATCTTATCGCAATTTTCGTATTTCTGTAAATTACCGTTATATGGGAGGTAGGCGTGGTCATTGTCTAAGCAATGTTCTCACCGAGTTTGGTAGGAATTAGTAAAGGGACTACTGGACTTGGATCCAGTATTTGCGGAAATATCTTAGTTTTTGCATATTGTGAAAAAACCGTTATATGGGAGGTGGGCGTGGTTATTGTCCGATTTCGGTCATTTTCAATCCCAACCTACCTTGGATAAAGCGAAACCTGCTTACCAAATTTCGTTGAAATATCTAAATTTTTGCTCTAGTTATCGTGTAGACGGACAGATTGCTTACAAAATATCTCACGAAATTTCTCGGTTCTATCTGGCCAAATAAAGGAGTTTTAAAGTAAAACCCCATATCTGAACAATCAGTTGTATGGGTGATGTAGACAACACTGACCCGATCTCTGTAATCTTCACTCTTCTGTTAATAATGAGTGAATAGTGAAAAATTCCATGTTCCTATCTGAATAAATGGATGAGTTATAACGAAAATTCTCATATCTGAAAAATCAGCTGTATGAGAGCTATATGTTATAGTGGTCCGATTTTTCCGATTCCGATAAATGATTAATACATTAAAAAATACAACCACTTACCAAATTTCATTCATCCGGATATCCTGATAAACTAAATCGACTCAGCTCGACGTTCTGATNTAATACAACCACTTACCAAATTTCATCCGGATATCCTGATAAACTAAATCGACTCAGCTCGACGTTCTGATCAAATAAGTATACATTTTAGTAGGCCTATCTCTTCTTATTCTGGTACTTACAAACATCGGAACAAAGATATAATACCATTTCATGCTCATGAAAGGTATACAAATTATACTGGGCATGAATGAAGGTTTAATAATTTCTAAGGGAACTAAAAGAGAGATATGTTATCTAATAAGTATGTAACTTATATAATAAGTACGTAACTTCAGTTAAATTGTGAAGATATGTAAGTAAGCAGGTAAACATATACTAGAGCTCGGGATATTCGATTAATCGATCAACCGAATTATTCGAATATGACTGAAGGTGACTACAGTTGCCCTCGAACGCAGGTCCTGCTGAATACTACATTCTATTATATTTAATGGACGTGTGAGCAAAGCACTGGCGTACCAATCACGAGATCTGAGGTATGAATCATCTGGCAGCGGTATTTAAAAAAAAATAAAATTTCTTTGCGCTCGGTTGGGTGTTTATTGTTAAAAAAATAAAAACATAACAGAGTTAACAATTGTCTTTCGAAAAACTGTGGTGAGTTGAAAGACAGTTGCCAAAATTGCCCAAGTAAAAAGAAGTTCTTTTAAATTGAATCAAGAAGACATTTCTTTTATGTATCAAACAGATTATCTCGACAAAATGGAGTTTTGAAAGATATTCTTGTAAATAAAAGCTCTAATGTTCACATAAAATCAATAAGGAATCTTTATGGTATTTTCTTATTTTTCATTCTTGTTTCTGTGACCTACATTTTTCTCTATGTTTAACAAGCTTAGTAATAGGCAAGTTATTTTTAAGCACAAAACAAAACTAATCCAATGATCCAATGAACGGATTTAAACGAAATTAGAATGGGACCATCTGTGAGGTAACACTATAACATACAAAAAAAAAAATCCGACGATTGATAACTTTCCCCCTTTTTTGTGAAGTCGGCTAAAAAGTTAAATTTTTTAGTTTTCAAACTACATACACATTTCTTTATTGTATTTATTTCTTCTTCTTTATTGGCGCTGTAACCTCCTACGCGATTTTGGCACTATGTCTCTATCGTTGTAAAGCTCATACAGCCATACAGCTCATCTTTAAATCGTCTGCGGTATTCGCCATCACCAACTCGTAAAGGTCCGTAAATCTTTCACAGAATCTTTCTTTCGAAAACTCAAAGAGCCGCTTCATCAGATGTTTTCATTGTCCACGCCTCCGCGCCGTACACCAGCACGAGAGAAGACCTTACTTCTCGATTGCCTACCCAGCCCAAAGTAGCACTTATTGGAAAGAGTGCTTCTCCGTTGGATTTCAAGGCTGATATAATTATTGGTTTAAATGCTGGTTCCCAAATAAACGAAGTTGGCTACTCTTACAAACTTGTAACTGTCAACAGTGACGTGTGTGCCCAGACGCGTATGCCCTGACTGTTTGTGTGATGACAGGAGATACTTCGTTTTGTCCTCGTTCACCACCAGACCCATTCGCTTTGCTTCTCTATCTAATCGCTAAGGCAGAACAGATGTAGCCCTTGTTTTTTACCGTTAATAACGATGTCGTAGGCATACGCCAGCAATTGTACCAATTGTACGCTCTTGTAAAGTATTGTGCCTGAGCGGTTCAGTTCTGCGGCTCTTATTATATTCTCCAACATCAGATTAAAGAAAGCACACTTCTTTTCGTGCTGTCGAAAGCGGCTTTGAATTTCAAAATCAACAAATAGATGGTGCGTTCGGTCCTGTTCTCGCGGGTCTTTTCCAAGATTTGGCGTATTTTGAATACCTGATCTATGCTCGATTTTCCAGGTCTAAAACCACACTGATAAGGTACAAACAGTTCGTTGACGGTGGGCTTCACTCTTTCACACTAGATATGATCTTGTAATCTATGCTTAGAGACAGATCCCGCGGTAGCTGGCGCGTATGGTGGGATCGCCTTTCTTGTGGATTGAGCAGAGCACACTTAAATTCCAGTCGTCGGGCATGCGCTCATCTGACCATATTCTGCATAAGAGCCGATGCATGCATCTTATCAGCTCCTCGCCGCCGCACTTGAATAGCTGGGATGGCAGCAGCTTTGTCATGCTCAGTTGGTGGAACATCGACTCCGTCAGCATCGACCGGGGGGTCGGTTTCGTCTTCTCCACAGCTTTCAGAGCTGTTGCCATTCAGTAGGGTGGAAAAGTGTTCACATTTATTGCTGCACAGAGGCGGGTGCGTATCTTGGCTGCAACAAGACAGTGGTGCGAGTCGATGTATGGCCCTCGGAGTGTACGTATGTACATCTAAAACACTGGAAGCATGCCTTCCGTCTATTACAACATGGTCGATTAGGTTTCACGTTTTTCGATCCGGAGACAGCCAGGTAGCTTGGTGGATCTTTTCATGCAGGAACCTAGTACTACATATTACCATGTTTCGGGCCCCGGCGAAGTCGTTCAGCCTCAGTCCGTTATCGGACGTTTCGTCGTGGAAGCTGAATTTTCCGATAGTGGCGCCAAAGATCCCTTCCTTGCCCACCTTGGCATTGAAGTCGCCGAGCACGATTCTGCTGCGATGGCAACAATCCTCCATTGTATTTATTTACCTGCTTAGAATACAGCACGTAATATTTACTCAATTAAGATAAAACATAAGACAATAGGCAGTACAATAAAACTAAACCACACAAATATGTACACGTAAATGGCAACCGAGCCTTCTTTTTAGTTTTATCTAGTTTTTTATAGTTTCATTGCCACTTACTCTCGCAAACTGCAAAAGAAATCGTATAAAATGCTGTCATTTTTAATTTCCGCAACATTGTTAGTTTGAAGTAGAACTTGTTATACGAATCAAATCAAGAACTAGCGTGCTATAGTTTCATATGTTGAAGCAGGTACATATGTATAGTAGTTTGCTAAGAAAAGGGGACTATGTCCTTGAAATGCAGCAGCAATGAAACCTGCTCAATAAATTAAGGATCAAATAAAAGTTTGCTTCGATAGTGACTATCTCAAAGTAACTATCGGTAAAAAAGTGGGCCCCTAGTGCGTCCAATGAACGAAAGTCTTAATCGCGGGAAAAATAATCCTCCTTGTGGATAAAGACAACCGCAAAGAAAGGATCCTAACAATCAAATAGTTGATAGCTGATATTTCAAAATATTTTTTTTTTTTGAGAAATTTTAATCCTGGTGTGCGGTTCTGTAAATGCATTTCCCTTTCAGCTACATTAACTAAAAAATTCCAAATTACACTTAAGAAAATTAGCAAAATTAATATTGATAATAATAATGTTTAAATTTTTCAAGTCGGCAAATATAATCATTAATAAAATAAAAATAATTTATATATTCAATAGCAACAAAGGTAGAAAATTACTAAAAATGGACGCTCAAAGCTTTAAAGAGTTCGGCAAGGCTGCTTTGGATTTTATCGCAGACTACATGGAAAATATACGCGACAGGTGAGAATGCCTTTAATTACAGGCTTCAGCCAAATTTAGGAACTCCGAGAAAAACAAATATATTTTGTTTTAATAATTCACAAATTTGTCTTGTTTCCCAAAATCCAGAGACGTTTTGCCTTCAGTCAAGCCGGGCTACCTAATCGATCTCCTGCCAAAAGAGATGCCAGAAAAACCGGAGCAATGGCAAGAGGTACTGCAAGATATCAACAAATATATCAAACCAGGCATCACGAACTGGCAGTCACCAAATTTCCATGCCTTCTACATAAGCGGCTGCTCCTACCCGTCTATGGTGGGCGAAATGCTGTCTGCCGCTTTCAGTGTAATCGGCTTTCATTGGGTAAGTTCAACTACCGCAAACAAATACTCTAAACACTTCTTTACACTACTTTTATCCATAGCTTTGTAGTCCTGCCTGCACTGAGTTAGAGATGGTTGTCATGGACTGGTTGGCGAAATTTCTCAAGCTACCTGCCCAATTTCTACACTCCACTGAAGGGCCCGGAGGTGGCATCATGCAGGGATCCGCCAGCGAATCTGTGCTCGTTGCTGTTATGGCGGCACGCGAGCAAACAGTGCTTCGTGTAAAAGCCGAACAGCCGGCGTTGAGCGAAGGTGAGATACGTGCGCGTCTCGTCGGCTATTCCAGCGATCAGAGCAATAGCTGCATTGAAAAGGCCGGTGTGCTTGGCACGGTTCCCTTACGGCTGCTAGCTGCCGATGAGAATCAAATAATGCGCGGTGCTCATTTGGCGAAAGCAGTGAAGGAAGACTTGGCTAACGGACTCATACCCACTATCTGCATTGCGACTATTGGTACGACAGGGACTTGTGCCTACGACGACATTGAGACTCTGGCGTCCGTCTGCGAGGAGCACAACATCTGGCTGCATGTGGATGCCGCTTATGCCGGCGCTGCTTTAGCGCTAGATGATCACGCGCAATTGCGTCGTGGGCTTGAGCGAGTGGATTCGCTCAACTACAATCTGCACAAGTCGATGTTGGTAAATTTTGATTGCACAGCAATGTGGATGCGTGACTCAAATCGCGTTGTGGACAGTTTCAATGTGGATCGTATTTACCTGCAGAGCAAATACAATGGACAAACGGATATTCCGGAATTCCGACACTGGCAAATTCCGCTGGGACGCCGCTTCCGCGCACTCAAAGTGTGGCTCGTCTTCCGCATTTTCGGCGCCGAAGGCTTGCGTGAGCACTTGCACAAGCAACTACGCTTAGCAAAACGTTTCGAGCAGCATGTGCTAGCAGATGCACGCGTGGAATTGGTGGCTAAACGCTCATTGGGATTGGTTTGCTTTCGAGTGAAGGGAGACAATCAGTTGACCGCAGATTTACTGCAGCGCATAACGGACCGTAAGAAGCTTTATATGGTGCAGGCATCATTTGGTGGCAAGGATTTCATACGCTTTGCTGTGTGTGGCATGGACCCGAAAGAGGAAGATATGGACTTTGCATGGCATGAAATCGAAGGACAGCTAAATAAGCTACTTAGTGAGGAGAAGGGAAAGAAAATTGAGGCGATAACAGTGAATGCGCATGATACACAGCAAAAAGATAATGAGGATGGTATAAGCCAACAACTGAGCTCAGGTCTGCATATAAGTTTGGGAGCGGACGAGAGAGCTCCATGAATGAATTTAATTGGATTAACACACATGCATATGTACATATGTATGTATAGAAATATATAATGTATTGGTTAGTTAAATTAAAATAAAATGTTTTCATATTAAATGCTTAATCTTTGTTATGCTTGAGTAAATATGTACGTACCTACCTAATTACATATACCCAACCGCAGTGAACGAATGGTTATTGGTGGGTGGTTTGTCACAATAAGAGAAGGGAGCTATAGTTTTACGCCGACTCCGGCTCTTGTGGTAGTGGTATAAAAGATGCTTCTTCAATTCTTCAGAAGAAGAATCCTAGGTTAAAGCAATGTGCTCATTATCATTGCTGAAAAATCTTCTTGAGAAAACGCGTGATGAGTGCGTAATTTTTTTACTTAATATTGATTTCGCAAACTGGTGTCATTTAGTCCAACTTAAAAGATAGGGTAACATCTGTCCCGCTTAGAGAAAGGGGCGTGGCAACTCCCATACAAACGGAATTTATCATACTGCACACCTCTGGAAGTATTTGTGGTAGAGTACTGGAACTTGGTATGGAGATATATGAAATCAATACTATACTCATGGAAAAAAATGTTAGATTAGTGAAAAGAGTATAGGAGACCAATTTTGTAAAGCGTTCAATTTCCTATAAACATTGATGATGCAACTGGTTTAACGATCTATTGGTGATAAGATATGACCATTTTTATATGAGACTAAATTGAAAATGGAAAACTATGATGAGCATAATCTTCCCGTTAATATTAAGAGCTCAGATTTGGTAAGTACTTTCTAAAGGTACCTAGGAACTAGTTTTCGTGTGTCGGATCAAAAAAAAAAAAAAAATACTTGATTCTTTTTGACCCACCCTAATATGCATGCATGCTTTCCACATCCACTTGAATAAATGTTTCGCAAAATCTCAGCACATGTATCTTCATGTGTTGGAAAATCTTCGGTGCGCAAAATACTCTTGGTTAGTGTCATCGCTGGTATTAATGGGCAATCGGAAAATGGAAAATAATAGCCGTCATCGATTCGCCAACAGTTATCGACTGGCGAAACGAACGAACTCAATGTGGTACAACCAAACTCGCTGTCGTCTATCCGTGCTAGCTAACTTTGTTGTTGCTTTCACATGCAAAATTTTTCGTTAAGCGACCAGAACTCAAACATGGCAAGCAGCGAAGTGGCGAATCGATGACGGCCTATTTCTCTTACCACTCTAGATCACCTTGATTGCTGCGGCACCTAGTGACATCGATCTGCAATCTCGTGCTTACTACAGCGGCATCTGTCAGTCATATTTCTCTACTCTTAACTGTTCTCACAGTATAGTCGTGTAACTGTTCTAACGCGTCTGTTCACTACGGTTGCGGCATTTTCACAAAACCAATTGAACTTTCACAATAAACGTATTTGAAACATTGCACGATTAGTTTTTTTTTTATATATACTTCCAAAAGAAAACACTCACTGCTACATGATTTTAATTAAAACACTTAATTTTTAGTACTATTTATCACAAAATTTATAATTTTCACCCACGCTGCGAAAAACGACGCGATTGTAAAAAGAGCGCGCGAAAACTGATTATGCAGACACCTGGTGTGAAAGGTTTGCAACTACACGCTTCATATTGCGACATCTGTTGAGGTAGTTTAAGCTGGTCTTAGAGTTATAAAGGCATTATAACTGGGTAACAAGAGAAAGCAGCAAAGATTAGGCTGGGATTATAGACACGATCTACTTAACAGTTTTTATTTTTTTAATATTTTAAGCTACGAAGCAAAAGCAACGCGTCGACACGAACTCCAAAGTCGAAGCAGCGCCGCCAATGAAGTTCCTTGCGCAGCAGTTTTGCCAGTGTCGGAGAAGTTTGCAAATTTTTAATTTAAAACTATCTTAAACACAATTTTTGCGATGACATTTGAAAGATTTTAGCTGACCTTAGATTAATGCATCCCAAATTTGCGTTACCCAGTAAAAAAAAATTGTAACTGTTTCTTCACAAGTTCACGACTTTTTAGAATCACTGCAGAACAATTTTGAGACTAGTTCACGCGATCATTTCGGGGTAGATTTAAACCAGCCACTGAATCGGTCGAATTAAGTCAATAAAGGATTGTAACGCAACCTCAGTTGGGTTGCCGATGGGCAACGCCACTGAAATGAAAATGTTTATTTTGAGTAGTAACAGCTACAGTTAAGTGCTATAAAGTTGAAAATATAATTTTGAAATACTAGCAACTAAGACTTCAGTGTAAATAAGCTCAAAAAATTTGAAAAAAAAAAAATTTAAAAAAAAATTATTTCAATCAAAGTTTGCACAGCCACCCCAAAAATACAGTTGGCAATTTAGCAACTCGGTTGCCGGTTGCCATCTGTAATACCATTTCAGTCATTGGCAACCCAACTGAAGTTCGCTTGCCATCCGTAATCGTCACATAAATTTGAATGAAATAATTTGAAGCGGCTGTCTGTCTACAAAATTTCATTGCTCAACTTCGAAAATCGACGAAATGGTTTGATTTTTTTCATATCCTTGGAGATATACAATCCGCGACAAAAGATATGACAACAAGATTTTTACCAGTTTTGACTACGTTTCTTTAGTTTTTTTTATGGTTCATTATTTTTATATAAAAGTATAGCTCTTTATTCAACAAATACCATATATGTATGTATGTACATAAGTCTAAATTTCAGACTTTTGTTCAAAAATTATAAAAATTCCATGAACTTTTCATCCCAATTCCAAGCATTGTAATTTTAATTTTAATTTCTAATAATTTGGTAATTTCATTTGCAAGGTCCTACCTTCCTTCGAGTAGAATCACATACAAACAACACGATAACTGGCATTATTGCAAGGCTGATATGGAAGCAATTCAAGCAACTGGCGGTTTAGAAATCGAATTTGCTTGGAAGACCTATTTCGCTCCGATCCCACGACCCTAAAGCTAAATATATCCCAAATGCCGATACCTCGAAAACTGGAAAAGTTGCAAACGTTTTTTTTTCTTCAGTGGCTTTTGAATACAGAAGCTAAAATTTTGGGGCATGTCACTAGACTAATTTTCCAAAGACGTTACATATTTGCTTAATTTTTTTCCATTTTATTCGGTATTTATTAAAAATTGTGTTAGCGTTTTTAACTCTTACATTGATTTTTGCTTGCTTTACAAAAAGAAATAAAGTACATACAGACATACAGTTAGTTTTGTTGTACATATGTATACATATTTATAAATTATATATTTAGGGTTGGCATACAAATAAAAGAAAAATGCTGCAACTGCTGCAAATGATTTTTACGACTTTTATTTGTGTGTATGAATGTTTTGAATCAATTATTTTTGTGCTAAAACTATAGACTCTAGCGTGTGCTTTTATATGTAGTATTTTGGTTAAATTTACTGTCCATTAATTGGGAAATTTTTTAAATTTATTAAAACTTCCTTGACACTTCATTAAGGCAAAATATTAACTATATTTGGAATTAGTTTTGCTGCTTAAACGTAAAGATTTACAGTTTCCTTCCGTTTTAACTTATTAGTTAGAAATACAAAAACACACAAGCACATACAAAATTCGAATTTAAGAAATAAATACCTACATACATATGTATATGATTAGCCATGTATATAGTAAACATTATATACAAAAAATAGTTTAGCTGTCAAGAGAAACGGCGTTTTGATTGATTTTCAAAACTTTTTCTTCTCCCTAATATAACTAAACAAATAGAACAGAAAGTTAAGAATGTTAAGCTTAATTAAAAATTTTTGAAATTGTGTTAAAATGTTCTTTGGTTGGGTTTCACTACGATTTGCTGTCGATCTAATAAAAAACTAACTAAAAGATAACACCGTGCGACAAAATAAAAAAAAAAAAAATTCAAAACACACGAAATACTCACAAAACTAGGGGCCAAATATAGTAAAACTGCGTTTTTCGTTTTTCACTCTGTCGTCAGGATTTTTTTTCAAAAGAACTTTGAAATTTTAGAGACATGATTAATTAAAAAAAAAAATATTTAAAAAAATCAGTGCCATGTAGAATAAACATGTGGGTAACAAATGTCAGAGAATATTCTGTATAATTTAAAAACAATAAAGTTTTTAATAAATTTTATCTTTTTAAGTTAATAAAGTTTGCAGAACGGAAGTCGATGATGATATTAGTCCTCACACAATAATTAAAAAAAAAAAAGAAAAAATATTGCAAAATTTTAAAGGATATTTAAGGACAAAATTTGTAAAGGGCATTTTCCATACCCATTGATTCTGTTATAATTCTACAGAATTTTGTCTTTTATAGCTATGATACCCTTATTGCTTCCTAAAATGCATCGAATTTTTGCAATAATAATTTTTTGAAATAAGTAATCATATTTTTTAAATTTCGAAGTCCCTTAAAAAAAATCCTGACGTCAGAGAGAAAAACTAAGTACGCAGTTTCACCATAATTTACCCATAGTTTCGCGAACATATTCATTTTTTTTTCTGTGTAAAATTTACTGTCGCACGGTGTAATAATCGAGACTTAATTAAAATAAAGCTAAAATATAGTTTAAAAAGTAAAGTAACTATTTACAAGTGTATGCAACATCAAGAGATTTGCCGCTAGAATTTAGAGTTTTACAAATTAATGCATATCCCAATTTATAATTATTTCTTCTTTTTATATGCGATAATGAAGCTCATTTTAGAAGTTAAAGTAATGCAGTATTTGCAACACTGATAAAAAGTAGTTGACTAACGCAGTTTTAGTTCTCAGATCAAAAGAATACATTTAAATTTTTCCAAAACTGTTATCAACTAATTC